ACCAGCATGTACTCCGAGCTTCTTCAGTGACCTTTAGCTTATTTTTATGAACCTAGAAGGAATACCAGCATGTACTCCGAGCTTCTTCAGTGACCTTTAGCTTATTTTTATGAACCTAGAAGGAATACCAGCATGTACTCCGAGCTTCTTCAGTGACCTTTAGCTTATTTTTATGAACCTAGAAGGAATACCAGCATGTACTCCGAGCTTCTTCAGTGACCTTTAGCTTATTTTTATGAACCTATAAAACGAAAATTAGCATAAGAAAGCAAATACCGCTCAACCAAAGGGGTCAAAGAGAACAGTCATAAACATTGAGCCCAGCAACTAAATATAAATATATAATAAAATTGTAACTTATTTGACATATTTGTAATACAAATCAGGCAATAGAAGCACTGACTAGAACATAAGCTAACTTATTCCGTTCTAGCACAATCGATGGCCAGAATTAACATAGAAATTTGGGAAGTAAAAGAGTTTCTGGTTGCTGGTTTCATAAAGCTTAGAAACATTTGGATTTAATGATAACATTCGAACATTTGGGTATTTTATGGGTAAATTCAGGGCTTTAATTTTTCTGAGAGCGAATTAAGGAATAATTAACAAAGCGAGGCATTGGGGGGGGGGGCGGTAGGGAGTAAAAAACCTTGGTTTATTCAATGTTATTATATATATATATATTCGACGTATATAGTCCGTATTTCCCGAGTCATTTCGTATCTAATACGTTTACAGTCATAACATTAACCACCATACTCATGTCCTGTGTATCAACCGTACGTACTACCTCCACTGTTCACTACGACATGAATTGATGTTTAAGTACTCAAACAAAGTGTTTCGAGCCAGTAATAGCAGACAGTTTTTCTGTTTATTGAGATATTTAACCAACAAATGCCTGGCGAATGGATGTTCTGATGTCACTAGGATACTGTCACTAGGATACGGTCACTAGGATACCTTAATGCTGAACATTTTCCGTTACTGGATCTTTAGTTGTGTTGTCTGTTTGTTTGTTTGTTTGCAATTAAGCACAAAGCTACACAATGGGCTATCTGTGCTCTGCCCACCACGGGTATCGAAACTCGGATTCTAGCGTTGTAAGTCCGCGGACATACCGCTGTGCCACGACACAGATAGTCCTTTCTATAGCGTTGCACTTAAAACAACAAATATATAACTGGTATTACATTCGTAAGGCTATTTGTAAGGCTGTTTGTCACTCCATTCAAATTACAAAGACAGAATGTGCAGTAATACTCGTCTACTTCAAGGAGAAGTCCTTTTCCAGGGGCTTGACCTTAGTAAAACCACAAGTCTAGCGTGGGAAAATTGATGAATGTACGGGAAAAGGGCCAGAATCTGTCTTCGTCGAGAATCCTCTTGTAAAACCTACGAGTTCAATAGAAAACCGTATACAAACAGATTCGCGACAGAAGACTCTTACCCTACAACCACGTAATCACTTGTCACCATCGAAATAAGCACAAATCTGACAGAACGCATCTTGGTGTGAGGATTTTTATGTTATTTTGTTTCAATACGGATGCCAAGGTATCACATCAGTTGGGTATTTATTGTTACGAGTATATTTATTCTAAAAAAAAGTTAAAAGCGATATTAAAGTTCAACTCATACGATGAAATATTTCACTCCGTCTTTTCTTCTCGTAGTGGAAATTTTACAATTAATATTTTATCACCCAACTGTATACTTCGTTTCAACACCTTACTTCTATCACCACTGGCACGTGCCATCCCAAAAAGTTTCCTTCGACCATTTCGTTCAGCGAGACGAAACTATCTTAAAGTAAAGAGCTAAAAACAGGCAAGTCACAACCGCAGTAACTGGAGGAACGCTTAGATCTAGCTGGCAGTGAGCCACTGATACGTGACGAATGAAGACGGACTCGTTTCGGTGTAAGAACTGAAGTGTGTTGAAAATACATTTTAAAATGTAGGAAAAAAACAACAACACAGGATGCAAAACGAAAAATAAACGTAGATTTTCGACATCAATACAGCTGAAATCATATTGTTTCTTTGTTTGTTGTTAAGTACAAAACTACACGTTAAGCTATCCGTGCTCTACCCATCGCGGGTATCGAAACTCGAATTTAAGTGTTACAAGCCCTTAGACTTACCGCTGAGCCACCGAGGGCTGTTGTGTTTGTATTTATGGCAAAGCTACTAAAACTATATGCTGTCATCCTTAAATTTGAACTATTTATCAGGTGGAAGACATCTAATCAGCAGTACCCTACCATCCACCATTCTCGCTAAGGAATTGATTGTACTCTTATAACGCACCAACAGCTTATAGTTCGATCAATATTTAGAGGCATCTCCGAGATTTGAACTCAGCTGGTTAGCTGTGATATCCAAAGCTCTACCGTAGGATCAGCCTGCCCCAACTAATAGTATGTACTTGACTGATGTTGTTGAATTGGGCTTTATTGTTCAAGAGTAATTATGCGACAACTGACTCAAATATACAAAGATTTAAACACGCAGAGAACAAAGAAATGTTGACTTCTCAAGGTACAGGTTTACAGTGATCTTACAGAAGACTCGAGCCTGAGACTATTATAAAAAATGTTGACTAATTTAAAGGTAAAACACAAGCACTGTGATATTCGTGATTAGCACACCACTTTCAACAATGAGACTTTATAAGGAGTGTTATTCCACGTGTGCTTTACTAAGGTTTGCTGTGGTTAACACACGAAATCCAACAACTATACATTGTTAGGAGTATTAATGAGTGTAAGACTTGCCAATTCATTACGCTTAAATTCTAATCGTTTGTTTGATTTAACGCAAAGCTTCACAATAATCTTCCTCCTCTGTGTCTGCCAAGGGTATCGAACCCCAAATGTAAACGTTATAAACTCCGAAAGTTGCCGTTAACCAACCGGAACACACACACACGCACACTCTGTTCGACAAATCGCTATACCCAAATCAAAACTCCACCGGAACACACACTCTGTTCGACAAATCGCTATACCCAAATCAAAACTCCACCGGAACACACA